ATCTCATCTCTACAATAAATCAAAAAATCAACCCGGCGTGTGCCTGTAATTTCGGCTACTCAGAAGGCTGAGGCGGAAGGATCGCCGGAGCCCAGCAGGTCGAGGCTGCAGTGTCCGGGAGCAGCCACTGCACTCCAGTCTGGGCGACAGAGTGAGACTCCAACTCAAAAAAAAAAGGAAAGAAAATCATTGGCTTCAGAGCCATAGGCAGCTAAGTGCTCTAATCAGTAAGGTCAAGGCGGGGGAGCAGTTTTTAATCTTATAAAAACTCCATGTTAATCCAGTGTGGAAGCTGCTGTGAACGCCACATCCTTGCTTAAGTCTCAGAATTCTGTCTTCTGCAGTGTGGCTCCACTGCTCTGAACGTCCCTGGCAGGGACTCCTGATGACCTAGCCTGCGGTTCCCTAGCGTTTTTGCTTCCTCTCTTTTCCTACCAGAGCTCTTGGCTGCCTCTCCTGTTGGTGGTGAGGTCCTGTGGACCTGTGTGAGTCTGGCCGAGGGCCTGGCGGGAGAACTCTGGAAGGTGGGCCTGTCCTTGCCATGGTTCTGCAGACTTCACCTGGCGGGGTGTGACAAGCACTGCTGAATCTTACGTCTTTTTTTTTTTTTTGAGTTGGAGTTCTCACCCTGTTGCTCAGGCTGGAATGCAGTGGCACACTCATGGCCACCACAGCCTCAACCTGCTGGGCTCAGGCAATCCTTCCGCCTCAGCCTTCCAAGTAGCTGGAACTACAGGCACGCACCACCACGCCCGGCTAATTTTTTGATTTATTGTAGAGACAAGGCCTTGCCAAGTTGCCTGGGCTGGTCTTGAATTCGTGGGCTCAGGCAATCCTCTCACCTCGGCCTCCCAAAGTGCTGGGATCATAGGCATGAGCCATGGTGCCAATCCTTAAGGCATTTTTCCACGACCCTCAGTTTCCCTGGCTTCTGAGTGATTAAGTGATTCTGTGTACCTGATGAAGGTGATGACCACACTTTGAAGGTCCCCGCCTCGCTCAGTGGTCCTCCTGACCCTATGTGAATTCCATGACAAAAAGTATTCAGCCCCAGCTTGGGCCGAGAAGGCCAGTCTCCTTAGCTGCGCCGTGACCACTCTGTCTTTCTCCGCCTTGCTCTCTTTCTTTCTGGATTCTGAGACCCACCCAGGCAAGGGTCAGTCCGCGGGTGCTGCGTGAACTTGTGTAGCTATGTCAAGTACCAGGAGGGCCAAAGTCTGGAAAGCAGGGCACTTGAGTGAGCAGAGACCACAGGTCTGGGAGGTTGTCGTTAACAGGAGGAAGAAAGGGTGAGGCCAACATGCAACACGGGAGGGCAGCCCGAGTGAGGCTCAGCTCCGAGCCAGGACTGCACCTTGGCCTTGGGCACCGTCTGACCCGCCCTCAGGCGAGGGAGCCCCCAGGAGCGAGGATGTGAGCCCGGGGGCATGGGGCACCTCCGAAGGGCGTTTTCCAATTTCTTGCTCAAAAGAAAAAGAAAGGGGAAGGTGCCAGGCTTTCACCCTGGAGCTATACTTAAGCCATCGTGTCTCTCGACGAGCATAAAGAGTGTTTTTGAGTCAAGCTGATGTCACCTGCCCGGGGGCTCTGGAGCCCTGGTGCGAGAACAAGGCTTTCCTCCGGCTCCCTGCGTGGCAGGCGAGGGGCGAGAGGCCCGGGGGAGGCCAGGCCTTGCTGCTCCCGGCTCGCCCCGCGTCGAGCGGCCTGGAAGGCGAGGTTTGGGGCGAAGAGTCCGCGCCCGGGCGAGCGCAGGACGTCCGGCGATCGGCCTCGGAGGCGGCCGCGGGGGCACCGCGGGCGGTCGCCCCTCCCCTTCG